AAAATATTTTACTTGCTATTATTTCCATCAACCACCTGGCCTGGTAAGTCAATCAAAGCATTTGCTGACTTCTCCACATCTGAATCAACCTTAGCAACACTTCTAACTGGCAAAGAAGGCTCTTTATGGCCTTCGAGTTAGACTAGAATGTAGCCATGGATAGTTATCAAGCCACATGTTCATATTAATTGCACAATACCACATATCTTCTATTCCTTTTTATCCGCATATTTTAAAATTTCATAATATTTATTTTCGCAATGGATTGCTTTTTCCAAAATTATTAATGCATTGAAATATACCCGATATACGATACTTACAAACTGGTATGGTAAGAAATCCTACACCATTGCATGATAAAAGCACATCAATTATCCACACAGCCAACTATGATAGCACTATGAAGCCTTTATCTTTTCATGCAGTGGTGTAGGATTTCTTACCACACCAGTTTGCAAGTACTCACTTGTTTCCCTACTTTTTCCCAATTCAATCCTATTATTTTTTTCATTTTTAATGTTTTTTTATTTACTTGTTTTCATTCTTTTTTTTAATGTAATAAATTACTTTCTGTTATGATTGTGTTGTTAGGTTAATTATTTCATGCTGATCATGTGCACATAAATTAAAATGGCGTCAAACCACAAACCCATGCTGTGTCTGCAGCTGGATTTTGTCTTCCATTTTGTTCTTTGTCCTTGCTTCTTCTTGAAACTACCTTTGTGGTCCTTGGCCCAAGCACAAAGGAATGATGTAAAAGCTAACTTGAGCGGTTCTCTGGCTTAAAAGATTAATGGGTGTGTAGAAGAAAGATGAAAGAAGAAGAAAAGTCTGAATAATTTTGCTATAAATTTGAATTTGGGCCTGTTGTTCCCGCTAGCTTACAGTCCACTTTTAAGGTACCAGGAGAATCGCTCAGTGAAGGAGAGCTCATCTAAGCCATTTATAAGGCTATACAATGTAAGATAAAAGAGTTCTAAGTGTTTTAAAAACAACCGCCATCTTGAAAAATCCACCTGAATCCTACATATAGGCTATTGCCTATATAATAATCAAAACACAAACACAAATGCTCAAGCAATAATTAAAATCCTGGACTATCTTGCAAGCAACTGAGCATGGGTATTAACTAGAATAAAAGCTAGCAGATATAGACCCCTAGTCGCTAAGACTATTTTTAGTAAATCATTCACGGTAGCCACCCACAATATAAATTACTGATGGCAAGAAGTTCTCCACATCAAAGGCTGATCAAACCCAAAGTAGCATAGCAAGAAAACTATGCTGCAGCAAGAGTTACCTGGTCTTTATGTAGTCTGGCCTCCATACTTTCTATAAATTCTGCTTTTGGGTCTGTAGTACCTTGCAGACATAGCACATATATACACGATACATGAATATCTACACGAATTTTCTGGCTCAAGTAGATAGTAGTAGATAGTGGAGAGCAGCCTAAAATATTCTCCTTTATTTTCAGATATTTTCATGTATTATATTCATACTAAAATAATCATCTGAAAAGCTTAAAAGACTGATTCTTAATGCTTATTCTTCTCCATTTTAGTGCTAATTAGGTGAATGTAAACATTGAAGGGGCGGGCATGAGCCATCATTTAACAGTTGAAATATGATTGAACTAAATAAAATCAATCCAGCTCTTAGCCTGCATTCATATTCAGACCCTGGCCTCATAGCCGGGGTCTGAAAAGAGTAAACACACCAGTTAACACAACCAAAATAACCCAGTAAAAGAGACAAGAATGAGTCCTGCCACACTGAGAAAATGTACCAAGCTAAACTTCTAATCAAGATTCCATCAATTAACATTGTTTGAAATAAGATTGAACTAAATAAAATCAATCCAGCTCTTAGCGTGCATGCATATTCAGAATTTTAGACCCCATCCTCATGGCCCAGCAGGGTCTGAACAGAGCAAACACACCATTTAACACAACTGACCAAAATGACCCAGTAAAAGAGACAAGAATGAACTGTCCTGCCACTCTGAGAAATGCCAGTGCCAAGCTAAACTTCTAATCAAGCTGTTCTCCTAATTTTAATTTTTTTAATGAGAGGACTACCGTATACTGGGATATTTTTGCGTCGCTAAATTTTCACGAATTTTGCATTTGTAAGATTTCACGAAATAATATTTTCGCGAATAGCCTGTAAACTCCACCACGTGGCAATGGAAATTTAGAATTTCGCGATTTTTATTTTCGCGACGAAGCAAAAAACGCGAAATTCGCAAAAATTTGGCTACTCGAAAATTTCCCAGTATACGGTAATCTAGAGGAGTCTTAGATCAAACTGCTTTTAAGTTCTTCAGCCTTTAAAGGTGTTTTAGACAGCCCCTCTCTATTATCTAACTGTTAGAAACTCAATCTAAGTTTGTCACGTTGAAATTTCCGCCATCTTGTTCCTTGTGACCACACCCTCTAAATTAATTTTGTCCACAGGTCCAAATTTATTAATAGTATACTGATTTATAAATCGTTATCTTCTGTTCACAAACAAGACGTAATGAAATAGACCTAGACAGATTAGAGTGGGTCTCGCTCATGCTCGCCCCAATAAGGCAGGTAGCCATTGTGCATTTTTATTTTCAACAGAACACATTTTTTTGTATGAAATTTCAGTGTCCACATGGCTTGTATCATAAGTGAATAACTGGATGCTTTTTGCAATAAGTGACATATTTTTAGTAGACAAAAATACATGAAAATACACATCTACTTACAAAGTGAATACAAGTAAATACCGGTTAAAAAAATTAAAATACAAGTAGATACAGAGTAGATAGAATTTGAGTATATGTGCTATGTCTGGTACCTTGTAGCACTCAGAGAAATGCCAGGTGGTGTCAGCACCTTTGATCTTGAGGCCTTCTTGCTATCAGTAATTTACATCGGGGATGGATACCGTATGTGAAAAAATTATTTATTAATCATTATTATAATCATATTCATTGAAAATATTAGTGCCTGGGGGCCCATGCTACATTTGAGACAAGGTTGCAAGTAGTAGAAGTTCATCTCCAAAATGCTGATACCGTATAGGGGTTTTATTTTGTTGGTATAAAATTTCGCGAATTTGTTCAGATTTGCTATTTGTTGGTATAAATTTTCGCAAATCTTACCTTCTGCAGCCATTTTTCCTAGTGTGCCACACCTCTTTTGTGGAATTTAATTTTGCAAATTTAATGAAAATGCAAAATTCACGAAATTTATTACCAGTGAAATATAACCCCTATATGGTAGTCATTGTCATTGCATATGCAATGAATATAATTATTATTTGATCCACCCTTTTTTTGTTGTAGCAACTGGATCAACAACTCAATGGCAGGGTCAAATAGCTCTCTTCATAGTGATAAGAGGATATCTAGCAGATGGCTCTTTCTGCAGGAAGTCACTCTGTTGATGCTATTAACAACTTACCTTGGAGGTACATTTGCTATGCAGCATATAAAAGTTCCATCAAAACTGGTAAAATTCAAAATTCCATACTGATTCCAGATATATACAATACAATGACAGTTACAATGACTAAAAAATCAACAATAATTTTTAGTAACACTGTTTACATTGTTTACATTTTTATCGCACATTAATTTTACAGGTAAATAGTTGCATGTTTAGCTGTCTTTTTATTGTCTAGCTAGTATGCATCATCCCCTGCATAAAAATTGTATTATAGGAAAAAGAAAACACAGCAAAACAAACAAAAAACTAAACAAAAAAATTAATTAGACCTAAAAATCAAAATCAGGTTTTTGTGCAGTATGGCATGATTGTGGTGTGATTGTGGTATGACTGTGAAGCTTATTCATTTGTTCACTTGTTTATTGTAATTTTATTTATGATCTAGCTGGCAATCCTGTCATTGCACCATCACCAGTTGTTACAACATATCTTGGAGGAACCATCAATATTACTTGTATCAAGCCAAATGAAGCCATGGAAGTGGCATGGGAAACAGGACTGCTGCCATTGTTTGCTTTTCGTGATGAAAATAATCTTGTCGTTTCTGTTAATGATATTTCCCTTAATGGAAGCTTTATTTACTGCATTGCAAGGTATCCATCTCAGCCTGTTACATTTTATACTAGTGATCCAGTTGTACTTCTTATTCAAGGTACAAATTGTTTAGTTACAGTTTTAGTTTTTATAATTATGTGTAATAGGAACCTTGGGTAGTTTTGAGTTGACCAAAGTGACTAATGGGCCCTGCGAAGTAAAAATAACATGGAACTCTCCATTCACTTTGCCAGGTGTGCCGATATTAGGGTACCAGATTAACATCACTAATCAAGACACTGGTACAAAGGATATAATTTTCACTAAAAACAGAAATATTTCTCTTATACTTGACTACAATTACACTGTGGCTGTGTCTGGTGTCAATAGTGCTGGGGTAGGGAATGTCTCAGTGGTTAACGCCTCTTCTGTTTTGAACTATATACGTAAGAAAATTGGATTTATTTGCATTTAATATGTTGTGGTAGATGAAACATTTTCTAGTTTAAATTATTCTAATCCCATTCCAAGTCGAATTGCCAATGAATGGAAGGCTAATATTTCATTATCTAACTATAATCAGCAACATAAGGAAATTTTGGTATAACTATTAACTGTATTTTGCATTACTTGTATTTATAATTTTAGGAGGACACTGGATGTAATGCTTTTATTGTAATTAATTTTATCAATAGAAGCGATTCAGAAACTGTATTCACATCAAAGGAAACACACGTTAATGATGAGGAATTATTATCAAATGATCCTATTGTTATGAAAGAAGATTCTCGTTACAATGTAACCATAGCGCTTAAAGCATTCCAAAGGCAAGCAAAGGTATTTGAATCGGCAAACATAGGGGAATTGAGTAAGCTAATGTGTGTGGTATATTAAAACTTTTTGTAAACAAGGTACATTTGATGTCCAAGACATCAACAATGATGATGGAAACGACTGCTTACGTACAGAGTATGTGGATGGTTCCAACATTAGTAAATGTCGAATTAAACTTAACTGCTCAAATGAACTTCTGAAAAGTTTTATACTTAATGGAGGAAGAGAGTGCTTAAATGAAACAGTGAAAAATGCGACTTGTGTTCTTGAAGCCTATGATTGTGCCAATGATGATTGTGTTAATTGGGAAGGTCCTGCAGTTACTAGGAATATCACAATCAGCAATGTATCATCAGTTTCATCGGAAGCTATTGGTGAGCTTGTTTCATTTATTCTGATAATAATTTTTCTTTAGAAGGACCAAGTTCTATCAGTTATGTTAAGAGTACTATACATCCTAGTACTACTGATACTACTAGTGCAAGTGAAATGGCATATCCCAGTGACACAGTTGTAGCCACAAATTCAATTGAGCCATATAATTTGAGCATGTTCAAGTTGATTGCAGTGATTGTGGGGAGCATAATTACTATCATTATCATTATTATCATAACTATTATGATAGTATTAGGTAAGTAGTTATTGTACAAATTTTGTGACTTAAATATTTTTAGTTTTATACTTTAAGAAAAGCAATACAGTCAAGTCTTGTGATAGTGAAAGCAATCATGCACAAGAGTCCTACAAAAGCAAAAGAAATAACGCAAAAGAGTCTTGTGAAAACAATAAACAATGTGCAGAAGGAAATTTTCCAGAAAAGTTTCACAGGAACGAAGATGATGATCAAGAGTCTACTCTGTAATGACTGCTGGTACTGCTGTGCTATTACAAAATTGCTTTTGCTAGCTATTATTTGTTATATATTGATATATTATTTTGGTATTCATTCCTATTATTATTTTCTAAGGCATTTTGATTACAGTTATTTCTAGTATTATTATTATTGTTATTATGATTATTACTACTACTATTGTTATTACAATTATTATTATTACTATTATTAATTATTATTATTTTTGTATTGCTGTACAATATTATTTCTTTTCCTTCTAGCTGATGCTTATGATTTACTATGCTTATTAGTTCATGTATACTGATTCTGATTGTTGTGTAACGTTTTGTCATTGTGATGTAATATGATTGTATATAAGTGTATGCTCTTTCCATTTTTGTCAGAAGAGATTTTAGCCTTTTTACAATAAATCAATAGTTACAAAATACAAAGATCAAGCTCTCTCCATTCGGTCACTACATTATTAGACTAAATTCAATTATTGAATAATTACTATTTACTAATTATTATTGAATTAATGATATTTTTAGACTATTATAGTATTAACCATTACAGCCCTGTGCCTGCTGCTGACCCATGCATGCCCAGCAATTTAACCCACCCTCACTTATTACTTTGCTTTAAATAGATCTACAAGCATGCAGCTAATTCATTCACTTAAAAGCTGGAAATGTACTTAATATTAGAATATGTTGATAATTGAAATGACATTAGGCACCAAAAACTCACATTATATTAGCAGCATATTGTACTAGGTACAATAATAATACTACAGTAGATCTGCATAAAATTTCATCAAAAATAGCTTAGAGAGAATTTTACATTTTCATTATTATTTTCTGGTACATGTATGTGCTATGCATCCAGTTTGAGCTGAGTTTGAGAGCAAGCACCTAAAAAACTGGCATGTGTGTATATGCCTTATACATGTAGTCTCGAGACTATTATACATGTACAGTATATGTCATTGATTAGAACATCATGAGGAATGCAAACAATTTATTATTAGAGAGAGTGATAGAACATCCCTTATTTGTTAATACACAAGGATAGTGAAAGAGAAAGAACACCTTTGGTAATCATTGTAATCAATATGCACAGCTATAAATAAGATGAAATTGCTACATCATAAATTGAAAGAAATCTGAACAAAAATGAAACTTTATATTATCATTGCCTGTTGCATACTTAGCTTCACTCAATCATGTAACTATCACACACACACACACACACACACACACACACACACACACACACACACACACACACACACACACATACACATCATCTTTCTCTTTAATGCAGGCAAAGTACAAGTGTCTCTTAACAATGGGCAGATCTTCAATGCACCATTAGAAGTGGTTGTACAGGAAGGAGACCACATTTCTGTTGGCTGTGATCATTGTTCATATAATGGCTACATTAAATATCTATTCAAAACGAATCTCTTCGATTACAGTCCACCAGGGATATTGCCTACTGGAAATTATACCACTAACAACATTGATACATCTCTCTCCTTTCAATGCTGCCAGTATGATGGCAGATGGAACTGCTCACTAAGTACAATTGTAAATGTGACAAAAAGTTTATCAAGTAAGCAACTCAATAATAATATTATTTTAGTTTTTTTAGATCCATGTGAATGCAATTGCACTCAACTATTACCAATCACAGAAACTACTACATACACAGAGACAGTTATATCAATAACATCAAATGATGTAACTTTGACAAAATTCCTAATAACAGACTCAGTTATCAGTATTACCAAGAGTACTCTTGGTATTACTGTACACTCATCAATCAGTGACATAGTGGTGACTAGTAGCTTAAGTGCAGGTAAGTGAATGTGATATGTTAACTTTATCTTTATAACTTCTCACTATTGATGCATTGTAGCTCCTACAGTGACTGATACTGTTGTTTCCTCTACTTATACTGCCACAGAAATGACCAACTTGAATACTACTAATAAAACATTAATTATCACAACAAGTAATCATAAGAGTAGCTTAATGTTCATTTATGTACATACTTTCCATCAACAGGTGCAGCTGCAGGAGGTGTTTGTTCAATTGTATTTTTAACTATCATTTTTTTCTGTTCATACTTTGCCTTAAAGAGGAGAAAACAAAGTAATACCTGCTACAATATAAACCATTATTAATAGTTTTGATATTTACAGTGAGCATTGCACAAATACAAGGAGAACCTCAGCTCTGTCAAGCACTGCCATATTGGAAGAAAAAGTGAATGTATCAGAATGCCAAGCGTATGGAAAACTTGATAAAGAAAGAGTAAAGGTATCAGAATGCGAAGCATATGGCAAACTTGACCAGATGAGAATAACAAGAAACACAAGTTAATAATTATAATGATAATTATAAAGGCTGGAATATGTATGTGTGCATGTACAGCACAACATCATTATACAATACTTTATTATTACACAAGTGAATGATTGAGTGTTATTCTATTAAAACCAGTTCTTATATTATTAGTTGTATATACTGTTGAATATTGCACTCCATTAATAACTGGTGGACTATTAACCATAGTAACAGGTCGAGGATTATACCAACAATTCTCATCATTATAAAGAGGAGGAGGAGGGAGAGGGGAGGAAGGGAAGTCCAACTGAGCATATTCACTACCATCAATTAGTCTTGCTGAAAGAGGTGGAGTAGCTTCTGATGAAACGTTCAGCCTTGAAGGCTACAATGAAACAGAAAGACAGCATGAATAGTAAAGGTTACAATAATCAACATTCAATCACAATACATGACTGATATTCAAACAATAAATGTATTCAATATGTATCTTACTATTATAACACTCTGTGGTCTATCAAATGGCTCAGTTGCTATATTGAGTGCTGACTCATAGGATGGTGGAGGGGATAATTCATCAGCTACAGGTAATGATGCTAACTGATTCACTGCAGCCCATGCTGATAGCACAGGTGTAGGTCTCAATGAGGACTAGAAATTAATAAAAACTCATAAAGCAACTACAAATACACTAAGTAATAACGTATTTAGCCACACTGCAATATGATAGTAGTCAGTGCTGTACATTTAATGCAATAATAGATATGGCCTCATAATGATAGGGGCTTACTCTTGTAGTCTGTGGTTGTACTGATGAATTACTATTATCTCTCAATATTAATCCAGTGTCTGATTGTGAGCTATAAGGAAATATTGCAAAAAATAAATCATATTTTAAGTTGATATTTGGAAAACATTATACTATTCATCTTCTATGCATTAAAATTGTAGTATTTGGTAAGCAGTTTAGTTATAAGCACAAAAACTGCACAGAGGAATAAGGAATGACTGAAAATGACTTACTCTGGTGAAGGTAAGTCTGTTGTCACTGTTGACAATGATGATGTATTGAGAGATGAAGGAGAAGGAGGAGCGAGAGATGAGGAGGTCTCGTCTCGTCTCTAGTGACAGTTGAAGGAGTAACTTCACGTTCCAATTCATTGACTGGTCTACACTCATACCTTGAGAAAGAAAGAGAGAAAATAAAGTAGTATAATGTATTTAAGGTAAATAGTAATATGTCATAATAATACTGTTTCTTTGTAATTAAGATTCAAAATTTTAACTAAAAGGATAAATTGCCTATTATTAAATATTACGAATTGTTAAAGTTGCTTCAAAATTTGGTCAAAAAATCTTGTATTGTAGTACAGGGTACTTAAGTGTCAAAAATGAGAACAAAATTCTGCATTAAAAATTTTTTCTAATACATAATACATGTAATTTTGTTGTATTTTAAGTTATAGCTAATTCTG